GTTTTGGGCGAGGCGGACGAGTCCGGCGCGCGAGGCGGAGAGGAGGCGCCGTACTCGATGGAGCTGGTGGTGCCGGCGGCGAAGCGTGGCGGCGCGACTCAGGCGCACAAGCCGCGTGGCCCCTCCGACACGCTGCTGCAGCGGTACGGGCGGGGCGAGACGGAGGGGCTCCTCGTCTTTGTCGGCCAGGTCGCGAGGAGTGCGGCTGCGGAGGCGCCGAGCGCAGCGGTCCGGCTCTCGCTGCCCAAGACGGACTCCGGGAACTTGCTGCTGCAGACATCGGGCCGCCGCGGGGCCAACCGAGCGACCCTGGAGTACCGCGACCCATTGAGCCCGCTGGCGGCCTTCTCGGCGGCGCTCGCGCTCGTGCACTGGAGTGAACGCGCGCAGTCGGCGCTAGCGAGAGCTGCCATCGGGAAAGGGCGTCTGAGTGTTGGGTGAAGATCGTTAGACTGATCGAGGTGTGAGGGGGTGTTGTGGGCCGAAAACTCTTTCGTAGGAGGCGACAGGGTCCCCACGGCAAGTAATGACCGCGCAAGACATAAAGGGTGGGCTAAGGCGTAAGAGGGCTCTGCACGCACACACACAACTGGTTGGGTAGTAGTCTAAGTTCTGAGACTGGAGGCCTAACGGGTCTAAGTGTGGCTAGCCACGCTGGAGTGCTTGCGCGGTCTAAGATCAGCGGGAGCCTCTTACATCGGCTAAGTCGGCCGTGGACGGCCTGGGGCCAAGAGGCTCCCACCGTGATCAACGTACAACGATACGGCGCAGCCCCCAAATTTTCTTCGCCTGCGGCGGGCGATCGATCCTTCTCATGCTCAGCAATCGCCGCCTCAGCATCCTCCTCTTCCGATTCTCGTTGCTGCTTCTTGAGCGCAATCTTCGGCGACTTCTCGCCAAACAGTTCTCACAAATAGCCTCAAGCTCAAACAAACGCGTGTCAGAGAAGCCTCTGTATGCTGGTCCTCTTTGAACGATCCGCGCGTGAGGTAGCATAGGGCCTTGTTGGCAGCAGCCAGCTTGTTGCGCTGCTTCGTTGCGATGAGCTGATTGGGATCGCAGAAGTGCATGCCAAGCACCGCCACGATCTTGAAGCAGAACACATCGCAACCGCATCGTCCGCACTGCCATCGGCATGCCGCGCCCGCCGCTTCGCCGCAGCCGCCTTGAGGCACGCATAGCGGCAGCATATGGTACGTTGCGCGTACTTGAGCAGGCGTTGCGCGCCGCAAGTAGCGCACTGGCCCTGGGAGAAGGCGATATGGCGTCGTGCGCGGCAAACGTTGGTCGGGACGCGTCCAGGTATTTTTCGGGTAAACCTGAAAGCTTTTCAGGTATACCCGGGTTTTACCCGGAGTTGGCCTTATGTCGTCTAAGTTCATGGCCCCCGACCATGAGGGTCTAAGTCTGAGCCCGGCTCCGTGCGGGGGCTAAGTTGAGCGCTCGCTCGCTGCAGAGGCTAAGTGTAGAGCGACCCTCTAGCCCTACTACCCAACCATTCACACACATATCACAAGGGTCAAGGCGCCCGCGTGTCGCAGACGCGCACGCGGTTGCCGGTTCCATTGACAAGTCTGCAATATACCCCCACACGAACAAATATCAAAATCCGAATACCGTGGCGAAACCATGTGATCTCGGCCGTGCAAGCCTTCATCTAAATAAATAAAAACGGACACCTCTACTAGGAGATGGGTAAAAAGGAACAGGTCCCCGCCCGTGCGATCTTTGTGCAGGGTTCTTTGTGCCGTGTGGTCGGCGACTAGCCGGGGTCGTCCTCCCGATGGGGGACTAGCACTAGCCGTCTTCCACATGGTCCCTCGGGTGCCAAGACATCCGTAAAGTTGAAACCAAGAACGTCCGCCAAATCCGTGGCTGCTTTCGGAGCAACTTGAGGGGAAGCCGCTGATCGAGCCCAGCGTGCCCGCGGCCGCCTCCCGCGCGGCACCGCCGCTGGGGACGACACGCTGCGGAATCGGATCGAGCCCAGGGAGGAGGAGGGCGCAGTCGGCGAATTGGAGGAGGAGGAGGAGGGCGCAGTCGAGGAATGGGAGGAGGAGGGCGCAGTCGACATTTGGCGTGTCTGACTCAGAGGAGGAGTTGGAGGTGCTCTGGCAACCTAACCTGATTCAGAAGCTCGCCGATGTTGTCACTCAACGTGCGTCATGCGTGATCGAGCTCGAGGGAGGAGCTCCGCTAACGATTCGGCCGGCCACCCAACGCCGCCGCCCACCGCCACCCACAAAGCGCCTGCTCTACTATCCCGTACCACCCTCTCCACTTTCCACGGATCATGCCCGTGATAGCAGCATCACTGCCGCCGTCCTGGTTTTGAACGTGGCAGCTAGTCGAGGGACTCGGTAGTTGTGACCCCCCTGAGTGAGGAGCAGGAGAGAGAGAGCTTTTGTGGTGTTGGTGTACGCAATGACGGGACAGGGGTGGTTGTTCTTGAGCACTTGAGCACTTGATAGGGTCGATTCCGCATGGTACGGGACCCCTCCGATCGTCTCGCCCTCCCTCACTGGTGTGTTCATTGGGGGGGGTCATAACAAACACGGTGCAGGATCGAGGTGCACGCTGCCGAGGCAGTGTCGTCCCCCCTCTCCCCGACGGCGATGGCGGTGTGACCGATCGATGGTTGTTCTCTCTATCTCCCCTTTCTAGCTCTTGGCATGAGCTGCGCCCTGTGTCCGACCCCTTTTGCGCAGCAACACCTTAAACTTTTAGGCCCTCCAAATTCGGGTCGGAGCGTAGCGGAGTGGGCCCCGAGTTTGAAAAGGGCGACGGACGCTTGCGTCCTAGCCTCCAACAACGCCTCCCCGGCGCAGATCCAGATGGGCCCCCGGAGGGATGCACAACCGCTCCCCCCCTACGCCGCTTGCGGCGGTCCTCTTCCCAGCTCCGCTGAGGGCGCGTGCGTTACACCCCCCGCACACCCCTAAACCAGCACACACGCGAAGGAAAAAATTTGCCCTTGTAGAGGCCTCCTCCCGCTCAAGGCGGTAGCTCCTTCGAGGTCTCGCCGGGCCCTGCTAAGAGACCTCGAGAGAGCGTGCGTGTGCCTCTACTCGCCTACACATGCTCTTGCTATTCCGGCTCGATGCCGCGGCGGTGGTGCTGCCGCACCCTGACAAGGTGGCGACGGGAGGAGAGGACGCTTGGTTTGCGAGAGGATCTACATTTGGGGTCTTCGACGGCGTCGGAGGCTGGGCGGAGCAGGGCATCGATCCCGGCCTGTTCAGTCGGGCCTTGGCTGTGGAGACTGCGCGCGAGGTCGCCGGGATCGAGGGCGCCGAAGCCGCCGAGGAAGACCTTGCGCGCGCGCTCGATACCGCGCGCTCGAGGGTAACAGCGGTCGGGACCTGCACCGCCTGTCTCGTGCATCTCTCTGCAAGCGGCAGCCTGACGGCGCTCAACCTCGGCGACTCCGGATTCCGGCTACTACGTCCGTCGCGCGTGTCGCCGCCGCACCGCCTGGCCGTCACGCTCCGCTCGCGCGAGCAACAGCACCGCTTCAACTGCCCTTTCCAGCTCGGAGTCGGGTCGGGCGATTCCGCTGCCGACGGCGCTGTTTACTCCGGGGTCGTAAGGGCCGGCGACCTGCTGCTGCTCGTGACGGACGGCGTGACCGACAATCTGAGCGAGCGGCAAATCTGCGAGGCGCTCGCGGGTCCGCTCGCGCGCGGCGAGCCTGCGAGGTCTCTCGCCGCCGCCCTCGCGGCGTCGGCTCACGAGGCGAGCCTGCAGCCGGGGAGGAGCTCACCCTTCGCGGCCGCCGCGCAGAATGCCGGCCTGTCGCACAGCGGCGGCAAGCCAGATGACGTGACCGTCCTCTGCGTGCGAGTCCTGGACGGCTCATAGACAGTTCGTAGAGAGACAGCGCTGCAAACGAGTAGACTAGAGTCCCGGAGACCTCGATGTCGAGCCGGAGTGCGGAGACGAGACTCGAGAGGCGATATAGCGCGAGTCGCGCGTGTGCCTGTTGCGGGGCCAGAATTTCTGCCGAAGGAGTTGCGCATCGCGGCGAGCGGGGCGACGCAACGTTGCGATTCTTTCTCGTACATGGATATGTCTATACGTAAAAGACACGGCGCGCCTGTATCTCCCCTTTAGCTTTACCGGATGATCGGACAGCTGCGAGAGCGCAGAGCGAGTCGAGCCGAGAGGCGCACGCGCAGCGCTCCCTCCCGTGGTTTCGGTGTTCGTGCTAGAGAGGAGGCGCGGCGACTACCACCGAGCTCTGAGCACCAGCGAGGGGCATGCAGGGAGGGCGGAACGTGTGGGGGAGGGGTGGGGTGGCCACCTGCCACAAAGCTGAGGCTCGTGGGCGAGAGGGGAAAGGAGGAGTGGTTACCCGCGGTCGCGGTCATCAGGAAAGCAGCCGCTTTGCGACAGGCGAGAGCTTGTGGTGCTCCATACTCACGTACGGCGAGGAGTACGACATGCCGGCCTCGGGGGCGACTGCGCGAGAGCTGACGGGCGCCGTGAGGCGCGCGAGCAGACAGGCGCCGCCTCCGACGAGGAGGGCGAGGGTCGAGGCCATGAGCCAAGGCGACGCGAGGGCGGCGTCGAGAGGCTGCGCGCCGTCCGCGAGCGCGTCGCACCACATCGCAGCCGCCACGGCCAGACCCAGGAAGAGCGCGAGGCTCGTTCTCGCGCGGAAGCGGCCTCCGGCGCGAAGCGAGCCGACGGGGAGCACGAGGCACTCGTAGACGCAGGCGACGGTGGCGACAGTGGCAAGGTCAAACTGATTCGAGGAGGGGAAGAAGACGGCGATGAATAGCAGCGCAGCGAGCG